GTAGATCAAGAAGCTTCGCCAAAAAAAAAAAAAAAAAAAAAAAAAAAGAAGCCTAATATCGTTGTTAGTTATGGAACTATTTTTCAAATTTCATTTTGGTCCCTAACATTTAAAACATCATCTAATGGATCCTTGATTTATTAAATTATCTTAAATTAGTCTTATATTTCATCTATTTATAAAATTTTGATAAAAAAAGGGGACCATATGCTATTTATTAAGAGTAGATATTTTGTAATTTTACATGTCAAGACACAATTCAGGTTCAAAAAAATTACGATCGTGGAATTGATTCTGTTTTTATTTTTCACGTTTTTTAAGAAAAAAATAAAAACGTTTTTAAAACGGCGTTTTGCACAATAGAAACAAAAAACAGAAATGAAAACGATTTTTTGATTTAGTGTAAAATGAGAGAGAAATGAAAAACGACTTTTAGTCATTTTTTTATTTTTTATTTTCATTTTCTCCTCTCTCGAGCAGAAAAAGAGAAAGAGAGACATTAATGGGTTTTTTTACACTGAAAATAATCTCTTGATAAAACTACTAAATGCATTTTCAAACATAATTTCTGGTGAAATTAAAAACGTTTTCATTTTCATATAAAAAATAAAATCATTTTAGAACGAGTTCCAAACGCGTCTTATATTTTTCAATTAAATTTTAAAAGTCATACCGAAAAAAGGATTAATTTAAAACATTTTAATAAATCACGAGATTGTTCTTAGATGTTTTAAAATCATGATTAAAAGTTTAGAATGGAATTTGATATTTCAGGGACTTAAAATGAAATGAGTTTAACTTCCCGATCCGATAGAAAGCCATAACCCAGATCGCCGAGAGCCGATAGGCTTGCATTTACATGCATATTTATGTTCTCTCTTTTTTTAGCAGAATTTTTGTTCTCGTTGTCCACACATATATATATATATATATATATATGTATACTGATCAAAATCACACACAGTTAAAGGCGCGATTTAAATGATAATAAAAATGGACCGCTAATGTCCATGTCTAGTACTAACCTTTTCTTTTCTTTTTTTTTTTTTTTCGGCCGTGCATAATAACTTATCTGCTATATAATTATAGCTTTAAGCTTTTTAATCTGTAGTCGTGTAGCCCCCACAGATAATTTGTCCTTAGTTTATCATAATAACAAAGTGTTCTATATATCTAGCCCATTTCTTTTTTTGACACACATATTTCTCAGTACTACTGCTTAACAACCATGTGATGGGCTGTCAGGTTGCAGTTTATATGGCTCAATCTAACACCTGAAAGACCACCCAAAAATAAGATTTTTTTTTTTTTTTTTTTCACAAAAAATGCACTTTTATATTAGTTGATTTCTATAGTATATTATGCGCCAATTATAAGCCATTCCACTTTCTTTTTAAAGGGTAGGTAATTCAGTTGCACTTCCGAATCCGAATGCCCAAAAGACCTACTGGTCGGCCACTGCTGCCTACGATCCAGTGTGCTTGCAGGTAAAAAAAATTCGAACCTCAACTCAATGTTTCCCGGACGAATACTATTTTAGTTTAGTGTGCAAGTTCCAATTTCGATATCGATTGCTTGCGAGTGCCATGGCGTGATCCTAGAAAAGATCGATTGAGACTCCCTCCCCGGTCCCACGACGATCTCTACGTACTTGTCCAGTCCAGGACAACTGAGATCTTCCGGTCCGCGTGCGCCACCCCACCTCCATCAAGCCGTCCGAGGTCGATAAACGCCTCGTGACCTGGCTCGAAAATCTTCGAAAAAAATTGCCATGCTATGATAAGAAGTCTTACACTTGTGGGAGAAAAACACACTCCTACACCATACAGTAGAAAAAATAAATTAAAACAAAAATAATATAAAAATAAAAAAGATAAAAACTTAAGTAGTTTTGAAAAAATTTCATACGTTTGCAGGAGAATGAGAAAATTTTATTTAAAAATTTTAAATTTACACACTCAACAAACTTTCTCACTTTTCCCTTACACTCTTTGCATGTCTTTCTTCTCACTTTTCTCTTTATCAAAAAGAGATACTCTTTCTCTGCACTTTTCTCTAAGCACACATAAAGCGTTATACAAAACACTTATTTATAGATTCCTAATAACTCTTGTCCAAAAATAAAAAACAGTAACTTATCCAAAAAAAACATAAAACATTAACTTTCTCAAAATCAATTTGAGTTATTTACCCAACAACAATAATATGACTTCGATCTTAACAATTGTCGAGATGAATTTTACCCTATAGAAAACAAAACCGTTTAAGAGTTCACAAGGCGCAAAAAAAAAACTTAATTGTGAAGAAAAATTCAGATGAATAAACATATAGAACGACATCACAGTAACTAATAAAAAAATATAACAAGGCCATACGAATCATGACAAAACTTATTAGAAAGAGATGCATTAGAACAAGTGCCGTAGAAGTACAACAGTGAAATGTAACGAGTAGAAGTAGATAGAGCGGAAAGTTGTAGAAAGAACTAAGGCTCCGTTTATTTCACAAATTTGAGTTTTGCTATAATAAAAAGCTCTCAGAAACAGTCATATTTAACTTTTTTGCTACAGTAAAAAGCACATAAAATCACATCTCAACTCGAATCAGCGAACTAAACGAGTCCTAAATGACAGAATTTAACATATGATGCATTAGAAGGAATGGAAATATGCCCAAGACTTCTTGATCTAGTAGTATTGGGGGTTTTAATTGGAGTGGAGTTTGGGTAGGGGGTTACGGGTTCAATCCCGAATAAAAAAAATGAAAATTTCTTGAATGGATGCATTTTTTTGGACGTACACTTTTACTACATGAGAATTAATAAAATTTTACTTTGAGCCTTTTTTTTCAGTAATTGTTGAATTCAATTAAGCGAAGTATTCGTTATTGGATGGTTTGTTCAATTTTCAATCTCTACAAAAACTCGTTTTAATTTACTTTAATAATTTGAAGAGAAAAACACGATTCAAACCTTCTCTTGTTTTTATCGATAATAAATCACGATTTAATGATGTGATAAATACATCTATTTATATCTTTTATGAATTTATTTGAGCAAAAGGACCATTAATTTGATTTGAAATTCTTATACGTTACATTGACATTGCTAATTAAAAAAATAACATAAAATTTTACAAAAATAAAAGGATATTGGGCATAACTCAACCTAACAAAACCAACTTGTTAGGGGAGGATTACCCTCACCTTATTAAGTGGATCATGCCAATATCTCCAACCAATGTGGGATTCTAATACGCCCCCTCACGCACAGCGTGGACCATGCCAAACCGCTGCGAATAAGTCGATATTGGGAGACCCAACATTATAAAATTAGATCTGTTTTGATACAATTTTACATAAATCAAATGATATTGGACCTAACTCAACCTAACAAAACTAGTTTGTTAGGGGAGAATTACCATCACCTTATTAAGTAGATCATACTAATATCTCCGGCCAATGTAAGATTCTAATATAAAGCATCGCAGAGTAATGTAGTTTTAGCTTCAACATTCTCTAGGCTAAAAACTAATTCCCTTCATGCAAGAAATTAATAACTACCATTCCCGATGTTGGAAAGCTAAGTTGTTGAACATAATTGGCGAGAGTGATACAGAACCAAGTTTCCTAAAAGTTTAACTGCGTAAGCATGTGGTATTTTGCTCAAATTAGCGCATGAATTTTAATATTGTGCCACGTGTAAATATATAACTAGAATCTAATGTAAGCCAGCGTATCATTCCAAAATAATGATAATAGTAATAATCAAGCTGGTGTAGAATATATAACATCCACTTAAAAAAGAAAAAAAAAATCGAAACAAGAAAACAATGGTCGTGTTTGGAATTGATCATGTTTTTGTTTTTGATGTTTTTCAAAAAAGAAAAAATGAAAATATTTCTAAAACGGCGTTTGGCACAATAAAGACAAAAAATAAAAATAAAAATGATTTTTTGGTTTAGTGTAAAAGGAAAATCGAAACAAGAAGACAATAAATTAGAGCCAAAAGTTGGACAAGATTTTTGGTGAGGTATGGATATAGCGTTGTGCAGATGGGGATAGTTGAGGCAGGCTAGAAATTTAGGGAGAGAGAGAGATTTTGAACTTCTCCTCTAAGGTGAGAGAGAGAGAGGAGAGAGAGGACATATATGTGTCTGAGGTTTTGGTAAACTGATTTTTTTTTTAGTCTTATATTACTCCTTAAATTAAAGATTACGTAGAAGATAAGAGTAGGCTACCAACCTACAAATTAACTTGCCGTCAAACTTCCCAACTGATCCTCCTTGTGCACCTTCTCCATATTTGGACAGATATACCCTTCCCAATTTACATGATCTAGTTTGCAATCCATACTTTGAAATCTAATATTCATTTTTTATTTTGGTTCTATATATAATCTTTGTTAATCTTACTAAATTGCCCTTGAACTCTTTTACAGTTTTAAAGCATCTCTCAACAACATTATGGATCTGAATCAATTATTTTAGCTTGTCCAATACATTTTATTTACGTAATTTCTTTTTTAGCTTTCAGGCAGTACTTGCTTTAGCTAATATGTCAAATATTATTATTTGCATAAATCATAGTCACTCCTTTATATTTCTTTATATGCAACTTCAATGTTTCGACGAGGATATCTCAGCCCGATGGATAATCAGAGGATAAAATAGTCATTCTATCGAACGAAGTCAACTTCAAAGGCTGTATCGGTAATAATTATATTCTTTATACATGAAGCGTCAAAAAGGCATATATGTCATCCCATGAACCATATATATAGTGCATTAGAACCTTTTTCCAAGCTCTAGCTATAAAATCAAGGTCTTAAGCCTCATATATTGTCTCCTTTTTTCGTATTTCCTACGTAATACAAAACACAAGGGAGCTTAGAAGCAACACGATAGAAGATGAGCTACTTTTGCGGCTTCTTCAGCATTAATTTTGTGATCTCTGTCTTCTTCACCATATTGATTTCCTTCTTCTTCCTCAATGGAATATCAATGGCCGAGCACGATCATGAAGATAACAACCATTTATTCGAATCTTATAGCCGCGAAGAATTGGTGAAGATTGCAGGATATGGAGAAGAAAAGCTTTCCACCGTCCTTATTACAGGCTCAGTCCATTGCGAAGCTTGTCTAAATGAAGCTCAGCTTTATGCATGGCCCGTTTCAGGTAATTTGTTATAAATCTCTTCATCATGTTATACATACATATATATATACATACATATATATATATATATATATATATACTCCCAAACATTTAGCAAGATATTATCTTCAGGTGTATGATCATAGTGTATACTCGCCCGTTATCAGAGAAAGGCCGGGGCTGTTTGTTAGTTTGCTTAATTTTCACTCGCGGTTTCTTTTACTTTAGTTTCTATATATATTGGAAGTTGTATAGGATTATTATGATCTTTCTTTTCTTAGAAGACGTAATTCAATTCAATGTAAATGTCAGGCGTACGTTAGCAAATTAAGACGTCGTATACAGAAAGCTCAATGATCTTACTCTAAACTACACGTGCGCATGCGCTTGTGACAATCATAACCAATACATTAATTCTTACCTCTTATGTTGTAATCCATAGATATAAGATATCTTTTCAAAAGAACGAAAAAAAATAAATAAATTAGTAATTAGATGTCAACATTCTTGATCACAAATGATCATTACAGGCAAAATTTTGTATATACACACAGAGATGGTCTTTCTTATTTTCTTTTGTTTCGTTAGGCAAAAAAGTTTTTTTTTATCAGGTTCTTTGAATTCCGCTGGATTCATGGCATACAAACATTTTATCTCAAATTATTATATTGCCTAACTCTTTCAGTTCTGATTAAAGGTTGGATTTGATATAGAAATTTCACCAATATATCTTGAACAAAACTAAAAGCATTCTCTATTCACATAGGTGCCCTATCATTTGAACTAATTAATGAATAAATAATTAAATAATTACAGCCTTAACCTCCACGATAAAGTTTTTTTTTTTTTTTTCCCCTATAATTCCTGAACTCAGTAACGAATTAGAGGCATACACATTTATTTCTTTATTTGAAACGATCAGTCTTTGAAGCAATCTCCAGGTTTTTGATATTCATGTTGGACCGGTGAAAAATTAGTAACTCCTAATTTGATATGGACATGTTTTTTTTTCTTTGGAGACAATTTAACTATCCAAGTTCGGTAAGAACATAATCGAGTGCTAGAGTAAAACATGGGAAGCCCACATCACGAAAGGCGTTCCTCGCACAAATTCTGGACCTTTCACAATCAGTTTCGATAAAATATGAATACGCTTTGACTTAAATGCGAAGGAAAAAAATCGTTTTAATTTTATCAATTAATTGATTTCGTGAATTAAATATAATTGAAAAGGACATAACTTAAATGTTTAATGGCATTATCAAAAATTTAAAGAGCAAGATAATTATATCTTGAAATTGACCATTCATTCTGAAAGAAGGGAAATTACAACAACATAAATCTTCTGTGTTGGAAATATCTTGCAGGTGCTTTGGTTGCCGTTAACTGTCATATTAACGGAAAGAAGGGAAAATCAAGTTGGACAAAATGTGTTACAGATGAATATGGAGATTTTGCTGTTGACCTTCCTTCAAACTTACATGCAATTCCAAACTTGGACAGAAAGTGTTCAGTTAAAGTCCTTAGAGTGCCAAAGAACTCGCTGTGCAGACCGGCTAATGTGAGGAGGAACAAGGGGCTGAGGTTCTTGTCGGTCGGGAACGGCATTCGAACTTACGACGCCGGAGCTATAAGATTCCAGCATTTGACATCAAGACTCACACAAGGATGCGGTAGAAAAGAAAGCCACAATGCAAAAATGATGTCATAGAGATTATTACCATCAACTAATGTACTTTGGGATGCAGCACCACAGCTCAGGAAGATGGCGCTTTTCAGTCACAGCATTGAGTTAAAAATGTATGATCCCCGTACGTTAATATACAGCAGCAGACGTATAAAAAAGATATATATATATACGCGTTAAAGAAAGTAAATACAATCTCATGTATGATTGTATATGCACATATAGTTTTGTGTTGTGATGTGATGTAGGTATAAGTTTTGGTGATGATTCCTTGTGGAGTGAATTGTACTATATATACAGTATGAGTTATTGCACACATGAAACAATGTTATTGATGCATGTTGTACTCAATATGAGAAATACAATGAAGTTTTTTCAAACAATGAAATGTTTACAGTACTCAACAAGAATATATGGTAAGATCTCTTGAAAAACACTGACGAATATTGTCAACGCAGAAAGTGATAATAGGGACTTAAGATTTCTGCTCAGTCCCGGAAACAATGTATTTGGCGACGTCGGCGCAGCAACTCAGCTTGTCTCCCTTGTCATCGGGGATTTCAACAGAGAATTCCTCTTCAAAGACCATCACAAGCTCAACCCTGTCTAAGCTATCCAGGCTCAAGTCTTTTTGGAAATCAGCTGTTTCAGTAACCTGTCAAGGTCAAATGACCCGTCAATTTCGTTGCATTGTTTTTACCTTTCTCAATTAAGGGCAGCTAAATATTTAAAGACAGACAACATGCCATGTTATTTGCTCCAGCAAAATGGGAGTAATAATTGATTAATTGGTGAAGAATGTTGTTTCTAATTCAAACAAACTGTAAGATGGAAAAATAGAGTTGATAGTAATTACCTTAGCAGCATCGACCTTATCGAATTTCTTAACGAGCTCAATCACTCGATCCATTACTTGATCAGTGGCACCTGTGGATGCACACATGATCTGATTGCTTAGCCGTTTGAGCATATCATTCCCATTTGCACTGAGCAATGTTTCAGCCGGTCTCCTTGCCCTGACATGCCACAAGATGGCATTTCTAATGCTTTGCATTTTCAGGACTGGAGAGCTGAAAATCAATGAAACCAATCCCAAGTCAGGACACACAAGATCACACCACTGTCTAATAACATCTGCTATAAGATGGCAAACTAGTGACTGATGCGTCAGACACACCAGTAACAAAAAGATTAGCTTGTTACCACAAATGTACGGTTGTGAAAAAAAACAAAAAAAAACACATGTGACATCATAATAACCACTAACGAAATCTCCTATTCTCCTAATATATATATATATATATATTCAGAAATCACCCGAACCCACTTTGAAACTGGAGCCCTCCGCCATTTCTCCTAGAACACATAGAATAGAATTTTTTGTCTTTTAGTAATTTTTACATGGCAATCAAAATAGTTGTTTGGTTACATCCTACCAAGGAAACTTCTGGGAAACACCAAGGTTAAAACTTAAAAGTACAAGGCAAGAGGAAACAAGCACGTCACAAAATACAGACCAACTCTGTCTATGTGATGAAATGATGGCCAAGAATTAAAAAACCATTCATCAAACAGGTAATGATCCTATAACCATTTTGCCACATTCATCCTCATTCTCAAATCCTGAACTTTTTGTTTGTCCTTTTCACTCATTACAACCTCTTTCTCACACTATTCAAATTAGAATACAAGAGCCCGCGAACCCAAAAATCACAACCATCAAAAGAAAAATGTTCAAGTTTGCAACATGTGAAATAGAAACCGCAAACGCAAATCATTAAAGTTAGTGACGAGGTTTATGGACTAGGAAACATAAAGGGCTACTATAAAGGAAGCAATTAAGAGCTTTAAACTCGCGAGATTACCGGTGTTCTTAGGCTTTCTGTTTGACAACACTTACGTACGTGATATGTTCGATGAAATGCCGCAACGAAAAGCGAGACGGATTCTTCGAGGATACTTTTTTTTGCTAGTTGATTCTTCGAGGATACTTGACGAAGAGAGCCGGGCACGGACACAAACAGGCCGCGAGTAGAAATATAGGGCTAAAAATGGGCCAGAAGTCCATAGGAAGAGTTGGGTGCTAGTGACGTCCATTTAAAAAGCCCAAGAAGATTTTTTAAAGGGAAAAAACAAGAAATACCGTAAAAATATTATTTATACCACACCACTTTAAAATAAAAAATTTTCATTCAATTAATAAGAAGAAAATTAAAGAAGACAATGAAACCTAATTATTTATAATGACAGTTTTTAAAAAAACCATAGAAGACCTTGTACTTTTCTCTTTTAAAAAAATACATGGTTTGCAATGGTTTTGTACAAGTTTATTATTTATATCATTCTAAATTATTAAGTATTATTATAACTTTTTGTTTTCTTTTTATTAATTGAATGATAATTTTTTATTTTTAAGTACAGTCATAGATAATATTTTTTATCATCTTGATTGGCATTTCTAATTTTTTTTCTTTTTTTTTTTGTTCCTTTGGAAAGTTAGGCATAATTTTACTAATTATGTTGAAGTATTTTATTCTTAAAATGTTTAAAAAAAAATACAACATTTCAACTGCACTCTCGTGGATTAGCCATTTAGGACATGTTTAGTCACCGTATTGTATTATATTGTATTGTATCGTATGGTATTGTATTGCATTTTAGAATTTTTATACAATATGGTGTTTAGTTGGTAGTATTATTAAAAATTATACTATTTTTACCATTGTAATCAATTCACGTATTAGTTTGTAATGAGATAAAATTTAGGCATAATCATAACCTCATCCGACTCTAATTTCGACCCGAACCCAACATTTTGAGGAAGCAAGGGAGAAAGTAGAGTTGCTACATAGGGGTCCTTTGCAAAAAAAAAATTGAAAATGGGATCAAATTATAATTTTCAAAAAATTAAGGGGCAAAAATTATATTTTTGAAAGTTGAGGGTTCAAAATATAATTTTTGAAAAAATTGAGTGGTCAAAACATATTTTTTTATTTTAGGGGTCAAAATATAATTTTTAAAAATTTAGGGGTCAAAATATATTTTTTTGGAAAGTTAGGCATAAATTTACTGATTATGTTGAAGTATTTTATTCTTAAAATGTTTTAAAAAAAATACAACATTTCAACTGCACTCTCATGGACTAGCCATTTAGGACATGTTTAGTCATTGTATTGTATTGTATTATATTGTATCGTATAGTATTGTATTGCATTGTAGAATTTTTATACAATACGGTGTTTCATTGGTGGTACTATTAAATATTATACTATTTTTACCATTGTAATCAATTTACATATTAGTTTGTAATAAGATAAAATTTAGGCATAATCATAACCTAATCCGACTCTAATTTCGACCCGAATCCAATATTTTGAGGAAGCAAGGGAGAAAGTAGAGTTGCTATATAGGGGTCTTTTTGTTAAAAAAAATTGAAAATGGGGTCAAATTATAATTTTCAAAAAATTAAGGGGCAACAATTATATTTTTGAAAGTTGAGGGCTCAAAATATAATTTTTTTTAAAAATGAGTGGTCAAAACATAATTTTTTTAAAGTTTAGGGGTCAATATAATTTTTAAAAGTTTAGGAGTTAAAATGTAATTTTTAAAAAATAAACACAACATCATCCGGTCCCGAAACTCGACCCCAACATTAGTCCCAAAATCCAACACCGAGCCTTGATATTTGTGAAATATTTTATATGTTTTTAATCTGGTCTTTTAAGTTAAATTGCATAATATGGTTTAGTACATAAGTTTTTTTTTTCATATTAGATATCACACTTCATATTGTATTAATTTTAAATATCGTATTAAATTATACAATATATAAATATCACTAAACATTGTATTATTATTAAATAATATAATACGTAGTGTTTATATGGTGTACTAAACATGCTCTTAGTGTAATTTTTATTAACTGTATAATCTTTCACTAGTGAGGCACCTTCGTTCGTTTCGCTGATTCGAGTTTAGAATTTGAGTTGAGATGTGATTTTACGTGAGAGCTTTTTATTATAGTAAAAAAAGTTAGATGTGACTATTTGTGAGAGCTTTTTACTGTAGCAAAACTCAAATTTTAAACTCGAATTAGCGAAACGAACGTGGTAAATTTCTCACTCTGCTGATTTTCTATTCAACTAACTAGTTACCAAGTCCAAGGGAAAAAAACAGAAATCAACAATTACAATCCTTTGAATGTGAACAATTTCTCTATTAACTTTTGCGTTTCTTTCAGCTTTAAAATAATTTAAAGGACAGAAATGTGGGATATAATAATAAGATGCATCCATTATAGCATGTTTAAGTCACACGGACTTTGACGGGACTTTTTCTCAATTGAATTGAAACTTTGAAGGATCAATAATGTTACTAAAAAGAAAAAAGCTTGCTTCTAGCTACCTATAACAGATAAAGTGACAGCAATTCACAGAGAAAATTGGTTTATTGATAATAAATAGAACTAAAGCGTTGGAGTTGATAATTTAAGTTAAGAAGTAAATTTATATGAGATAAAATATTATATCAAAAAAAGTTGAATTTGAATTTTTATGAGAGAAAATAATGTATAAATTGTTGACAAAATAAATAAATATCGTGACTAAACTCTTTTTTTTGTTTTTTTGTTTGGGAAATTGGCTATTTTCATTTTGGTTAAAAAGGTAGCCCTCTCCATTATTTAGTGGCATTTGACATATATGAAAAGGTATTAACCTACTTATAATGTGTTTGCAATTTTTGATATAGACAATTGAGGGCGGTGGTCGTGATATAATTGTGAGGTGACAACTCCCTTGAAATAATGAACAATCAATGGAAGTTTTCAATAGATGTTAGTTAGTGATGAACAATTAGTGACCAACGAGAGTCACCAACGATTAGATCCAATTAGACTATCAATTATGACTATGATAATGATGATTAATTGATAGAAGTTGGTGTAGATGGAAAATTTTGAGCTCGTTTTCTTTTAATCGTTTCTTCATTATTGACAATTTAATGGGAAATTACAAAAAAATAATAATAATAAGGGGGATTTTTTTGTTTTTGTTTTTTTTTTTTTTTTTTTATGTTTGGTGTATGATTAAAGACATAAAAACCAAAAATCACAGAAGGATGATGATTTTATTTAGAAGTTGCATATTGTGTTGGCACTAAACAATGATAAATTCCCAAGACAATACGAAACAAGGGCATGCAATGCAAGAAAAGGAAATATCCACGCTTTTTTCTTTTCTCTCTATACGAAGTTACCTTTTATTTTTCTGGTGGAAATAACCTCTTTCGTTTCGCTGTCGAGTTGAGAACTTGAGTTAAGACGTGAATTCATGTGAAAATATACTGTAAAAAAAAAGTTGAGTTTGAATTATTATGAGAAAAAACATAATAATAAAAACTTAAGTTGTAATTTCAACTAGTAAAACGAAAGTAACTTTATGTTATTTTTTTTTTCTCTTCAAAAAACCGAACCTTTTTGTTTTTCTTGTGACCGAAGTTATAGTATTATGGAGAAAATTCTTCTTAATGAATTTTAAGAAGCATATTTTCGGCACTTTTATTAAACCAAAAGGTTAACTTTTCGTTCTCTCTTGTAATATTTAAAAAACCTATAATTTTAATTTCTTAAAAAATGTATCTTTTTTTTTTTACTATATCAAATTTGCTTAAATAATTTTCCACTATATAATCCTTTTGTGTTTGCACCAAAATAGAAAGAGATAAATCAATTAACTAATTGTTTTTCATACTCGACATAAAATTTTCATTTTTCTATCTAATTTAATTAAAAAATAAAAAAGATATGTATTTTTCTTAACTGAAAATATAAAAAAGGCTTGTCTTTAATCTTTAAATATGTAAGAAGTGCAAGACAATAGAGTATCGAGATGAGAGGAAAGGTAAGAAAATAGTGTAAAGAATTAACGAAAAATCTTTTTATTAATTAAGGAAAGTAAAAAAAGCGAAGCGAAGCAAAGCTCAATTTGGGTTAAAAACTTCGTCAATCATGATGTGACGACCATCCTCTCCGTACCCAACATCATATTCATTTTGGGCCACCATTCGATCTTCCAAACTCACCGGAGAATCATTTTTCCTTTCTCTTTTTTGTTTTCCCCCGTCTTATTTTTTTTTCCCTCTCGTTAAAAATCTTTTTATTTTATCCGTTCATTTTATCAATTCTTAATTAAAATTCAAAATTAACAAATTAAACAAATTTTTAATTAATTTTTTCACTTTTTTTATTTTCTTTTTATTTAACTTATTTAAATCTCATTTATTTTATTAAGTTAAATTTTTAATTATAATTTTATTTTAATTAAAAATTCTCACAAAAAATTATATTTAAATTTTTATTATTATAATTAAAAATTCTCATATAAAATTACATCTCCGTTTAAATTAAAAACTCAAATTCCTAAACAATGTCTTATATATCTTATAACCCGCTTTTTAATCTCTCCCCATTTTTCTCACCCCTTTTTTCTCTCTCTCTCTCTGTTTTTTCCTCAACAAAAATTATGTTCCATGGGCATCTCTCTTTGTCGCGTTGTTTCCGATTTTTCGATACTAAATTGATTGATTCATTCTAATATTTCATCTGGGTCGGAATCAAATTTGGGATTCTACAAGTGGGTTTCTTTTTTTCTTTTTTCTTTTTCTTACACTTATATATATATATATATATATAT